TTGATCTATCAGTCATGTCTTTCAACAACAGCTACGGCGACCAATTCCAAGGCCAGCCCCAGGGCGACATGAACAACCAGACCCCGCAGCCCGGCGACATGGGTCAGCCCATGGACGCTTCCGGCAACGGCTTCCCACCCCAGGGCAACATGGGCCCACCAGGCAGCGCTGGTGGTGACGGCCAAGGCCAGGGTGCGGGCAAGACGACTCTCTGGTGAGTCTGCGGACGCACCCGAGTTGCGAATTGCGCATCTCAGATGGCGATATGCGCGCTCGGGTGGCCTTTCACTAGGTGGGGCATATCGATGCTAACACAACGCAGGATGGGTGAACTCGAGCCCTGGATCGACGAGAACTTCGTGCGCAGCATCTGGTACAACATGGGCGAGACTGTCAACGTCAAGATGATCCGCGACAAGTTCTCCGGGTAAGCACGGAATCCACACAGGAAAAAGTCTCCAGGCTAACTACCGCATAGCAGCAATGCTGGATATTGCTTCGTCGACTTCGCGAGCCCTGATGCTGCGTCCAAGGCCCTTAGCCTCAACGGCCAACTGATCCCCAACTCCAACCGCCCGTTCAAGCTGAACTGGGCCTCTGGCGGTGGTCTTGCTGACAGGAGGCAAGTCTCACCCGGCTACCCACATACGACAGTGATCACTAATGACTCGAACAGCCGCGATGAGCGTGGTCCCGAATTCAGCATCTTCGTCGGAGACTTGGGCCCCGAGGTCACTGAGTTCGTCCTCGTTCAACTCTTCCAGAACAAGTACCAGTCCACCAAGTCCGCCAAGATCATGTCCGACCCTATTAGCGGTATGTCGCGCGGCTACGGTTTTGTCCGGTTCGCTAGCGAGGAGGACCAGCAAAAGGCCCTCACTGAGATGCAAGGCGTCTACTGCGGCAACCGCCCCATGCGTATCTCCACCGCCACACCCAAGAACAAGAGCGGTGGTCCCGGAGGTCCCGGCGGAATGGGCGGCATGCCCCAAGGCGGCGGCGGCCCCGGTATGGGCATGTACTCGATGGGCGCTCCTCCCATGGGTGGCTACTACGGTGCTCCCCAGCCGATGAACCAGTTTACTGACCCGAACAACACTACCGTCTTCGTCGGCGGTCTGTCCGGCTACGTCACCGAGGACGAGCTCCGCTCTTTCTTCCAGGGCTTTGGCGAGATCACATACGTCAAGATCCCCCCAGGCAAGGGCTGCGGCTTCGTCCAGTTCGTTCAGCGTCACGCAGCCGAGATGGCCATCAACCAGATGCAAGGCTACCCCATCGGTAACTCTCGCGTCCGTCTTAGCTGGGGTAGGTCCCAGAACAACTCCGGTCCAGCCGGCACCCCTTACCGCCCTGCACCACCTCCACCAGTTCCCTTCGGCCCAGGCATGGGTATGCCCCCGCAACACCCCTACGGCGGTGGCGGTGGCTACGGCCCGATGATGAAGGTAAGCCAACAAGACATGTTGCGGTTTTGTGTCTGATGCTAATTCGACTGTAGTAAGCGCATTCTTTCCCTCTGTATTGCTTGCACGGCGCTTCTGTCATGGTTCATCCCGTTGGCTTACTGCAACGATCCCTTTCATGACTCGGCATGACGAATTTCGAGCGATTTGGTCTTTAGTTCTATAACGGGCGGTTCTCCAAAAGTTCTCGACTTCTTCTCACGACACTCATCTTGCTGGAGGGCCATAGAAGGGAGTCTTTGTATAACAGGCCATCTATTCTCCCATTCGGGCTTTCTTTCTAAGCGTGCCACTCATCTTTCTGGGAGCATAGGGATGTAGCTAGTCATGCATGGGCCGGATGCTGCTTTCTCTCGACTTGCCTTTTCTTCACGATTGTGCGCTGCTCCTTGCAGGATTGGCCATCATTTCCAATCACACGATTCTTCTATTTCTGCGTGTTTGGTTGCGTGCTTGCTTGCTGGCTTGGTTGATTCGTCTAACGTTCTGTTCCAAGTGCCTTCTAGTCTTTCCTTTGTTAGTTTGTTGTTGGTTCTATTAGCACGCGCAGAGTCTACCACCTCGTTGCCCTCCTTGGACACCTTGCTAACGTCACTGTGTAGCAACTTTCCCGTCCAGGCTGGCCAGCCTTCGCCTTACCCGCCGTCGATGAACGCAAGCCTCGGTGGCCAGCGACCCGGCAGCCAGAACGCCCCTTCGGCCAATCCTGCCGGCCAGAACGGCACTCCCACGTTCAACAACTACCGCTTCACCCCCACCCAGCCCAACGGCCCCAACAGCCCCGGCTTCGGCTCGCCCGACTTTGGCGGTGCCTTCTCGCAGCAATTCCCTCCACCGCAGTAACTGCGCATCGTACGCTCTCGCATTGGTTATACGCATATCAGATACTGTTTTGCCGCTTTAGCAAGGAGTTCTTGGGGCATGAAACTTCATTATCACGACGTGGCTATATTCTTTAACTGGGGAATGAAGGCATAATGCTTTAGCGAGGCGTCTGGCGAACAAGAATTAAATGGTATACCCATGCAGCAAGAGAAGGCGTCAAGAGTCTGTTTCATTTCTATCGTGGCGGGAGGTTCGCGTCTTTGCTAGAAGATTGCACTTCTTTTGAGGTTTTGCGTTGAGTTGCTGCGTGCGCTGTGGGTATTTCGGGAGATGTCTATCGAAAGAAACGTCGCAGACTGATGGTTAGTGGGTTCTAGTACAAGGTCGCTGCAAAGGTCCATGGAGGGTACATCACAGACTGACGGACAGTGAGTTTTTAGTAGAAGGGCTTTCTGAGAGATGCTACATGAGCATGCGGCAACATGCGTTTTGATCTAGTCATGCCCATTTTATACAATTTACACTTCACCGCATTTGCACGAACCTTTGACGATGTGGTTTGCCTCGCGCCATGACGTTGCGCCGTGACAATCGTGCCTTCCTCATCACTGGACCTCGGGCGTACCCGCCGTCGCTCAGCCCTCAACCCTCATAAACAATGGGCTTCTTCCTCCTCTCCACAAACACACATCCGGCACAACTGCCAATTGCTTGTTGCTCTTTTGGACCTGACCAGCAGCAATCGCACGCCTGCCATGCGCTACGACGATTGGGACGTGATCCTCTTCCCTAAGGACTCTCATGTACCCATACAGGAGTTCAAGACTGCCTGCTATGTCTCACCTGAGGAGTGTGAGTACCCTGCTCTACCCCACCTGCATGCAGACGTCTTATACCTGGGCGTCAATACTGATAGCATGTAGATGGCCGCCAGTTGCCCACTTTGACCTCTTACATCAGCACTCTGCCACCGTCCACACCGTTCCGTATCTCCGTACACTCATGGGCCACTGCATCGAAAGCCTCGGCCCTGATCGAGTCCCGACGGAAGGCGAACCAGAAGGTCGTATACACAGTTCAGGTCATCGTCGATGGGGCTAGAGTCTTGTGAGCTCCACGCCATAGTATGTGGACATGGGACCACGACGCTGATTAGCATAGTCGTGGCTTCTTCGACATAACGTCGAAATGGCCCCAAGAGATCGGTATGTCTCACCTAAGTCAATGCTGCATCACCTTTGGACTGACGATGTGTAGCGCAAGAGAAGAGATCACTCGCCATCAACGAGTATCCATCAAGTCAACGGAAACAATGCCTCGAGTTCCCGCCCTTTCATCAACGGACCCTCATGCAGAACTCATGGAACGCCCACGATCCACAAGGACGAATAAAGATAATGTTGTCGGAACAGTTGATCATGAAGACGGCAAGTCCTGGAGAGGTAGATCTTGGCACGACCAACGACATTGTTTGCTTCTCATTCCAGCATGCTCCAAAAGGTACGTCGAAGGAACTTATACCCCTCATATATGAATCCCTAATAAGGAACAGATGTCCTAGAACAGGCGGGCATCTCATGGCCCATCAGAAACCCTCTATACCTTCCCAATGCGCTCGAGCGAGCCACGCACCTGTCACAAATATCCCCGACGAACTCTCGGACACCGAAGGCCCGACCCTTCCCAGGCGATATCAATATGCAGTCGCCAATCTCGCAAACATCGGCATCCGCCTTTGCTAGATCGCAGATTCCCTTACCCAATCGACGCTCTAACGCGCATCTGCCCCCCATCTCACAATTTGCGAAGCCACTGCCAGGTTTCAGAAACAACGGTCGCCCAGGCATATGGGATGACAATCTCAACTCCCTTGTAGATTCTGCCGACGACGTTAGCATGGATACATGGTCAACAAGAAGAACGTCGGGCTCCATCAGCGACATGGCCATGCCTGACTACATGTATGCTTCTTCACATCTGTCACGGAAAAGTCAACCATGGATGCCTGAAAGGTCCCAATATGACCAAGGCATGAGTACAGAATGGGAAGATCATCCGCCGAGGAAGGAAAAAGAGAAACAGCTCGTTGTCACCCTTCGAGATGACCAGCTAGGGCAGATTATCCAAGCTATGAGTCCACCGAAGCAGAATCGTGAGCTATCGCATGGATCGGGCAATCAACGCCATGACAATACTGGTCGCCTACCGACTGCTTACAACTACTGTCCCCCAAAGTCAGACATCAATCCACCTATCAGCCGCCCGTCGTCGGCGGCCATGGCGCGCAAGCCATCATACTCGGACTTCAATAATGCCCTACGGAACGCATCGAATAAGCAGTCACCAATTAATCAGCGGTTCCACGATGCGATTAATGACAAACAGCCTACGATGAATCACCCTTCCTTCTCAAGCAACAAAGAGAATCGTCCACCTTCGCAATCGCGATTGCCTACTGCGTTTCCAAACGCGAACCGTGTTCCGACGCCGAACCCCTTCGCGCAAAGACTCCCAACCCATAACTCAGATGTTTCCATGAGAGACCCATCTCCGGCACGTTCAAGTATGTACAGGTTCAGCCGGAGCGAAGCGCCACCTCCGACCATTGAGCCTGCTAAGTTTGGGTCAGCTCACGGCCCTTCCGCTGTAAACGTCAGGAGCCGGAAGGAAGGCCTGGCATCTGACTCACCGAGGCTGTCTGAACAAGCAATGCGCCATGATCAGAGCCTGCTACCATCATTGAACTCAGGTCCTCGGACTGCGCATATACCCATCTTTGAGGATAAAGATGAATCCTCGCACAATAACCAGAAGAAAATCCCTGACGTAGTGGAGATCATCGATGTGGATGCCATCGACCCCCACCTACACACCAATGCTTCCTTCGAGAATAACAAGCTCTCTCCGTTCAAGCCCTGCCACAAGACTGGAGTGTCGCTTTCAAGCATCGACAGTACCGGCCGTCTGGAGAGACAGCTCTACAGTGCCCTTGGCGAAGAACTAGGCAGCTTTGAACACCATATCGACACTACAGGTATGGGACCTGAACTTGCACAGGCACTTGGTGGTGTCACAGCACACTCCGATCTCAGCGGCTCCGGCATGCTAAACCCAAACGCTCACGAGTTTGAGCCAACAATCAAGCGGAAGAGGCAGAGTACGGTGGGTGGCAGTCGGGAGAGAAGTCCGATGACTAAGAAAGAGAAGGCTGACTTGCGAGCTGGCGACGATCAGGAAGAGGTGGTGGTGTGTATGAGGGGGGATTGAGCGTATTCTTAGTTTGACGATGCTTCCTGGAGGACTATGGATTACTCTTGTAGGCTTTGTTTTCTGAGCGTTCTAAGCGTATTGTTGTACTTGTTAGTCTTTTGGGATAGGAGCAGATCTTACCTATTGTCAAACAGCCAAGAGCTTATATGAAAATTGGAGCAAAAGCTGTTTCTCTTAACAACAAAATAACATCACATTGACAAACATGAAGCACACGCTTAGCAAACCTCTTTGATTTCTCAGTTTAATAGACAAAATACCCCTGCGTCAACGGCAGCGTCTCCGCAGGCTCAGCCTCACACACCATACCATCCGCCTCGACCGTATACCTCTCAGGATCGACCTTCATCTTCGGCTTCGTATCATTGTATTTCATATCCTTCTTACCGATATTCCTACAATTCTTCACAGCCTCGACACGCTTGCGCAGACCATAAGACTTGACAACGCCAGAGGCAATGGAAGCTTGCGAGACAAATGTGATGCTGGATGAAGGCACCATAGGCGCGAACATGGGGCGCATGATGATGGGTTCGACGGTGGGGATTGAGGCGTTGGGATCGCCCTATTTGGGTGTTAGATGAACTGCTGAGCTGGAGACAGAGAAGAAAAGGAGAGGGAGAAGGGAGAGACAACATACCATCTGAGCATACGAGCAAAACCCACTCTTAACCACCAAATTGGGCTTAACCCCAAAGTTCCTCGGCGTCCAAAGCACCAAATCCGCCACCTTACCCACCTCCACACTTCCCACAAGATGACCCATTCCCTGCGCTATCGCGGGGTTAACAGTATACTTACTGATATACCGTTTCACCCTAAAGTTATCCGCATCCGTGCCCTCGTCTTCTTTGAGCGTACCGCGTTGCACTTTGTTCTTATGCGCGGTGTTCCATGTGCGGAGGATAACTTCGCCGCAGCGGCCCATGGCCTGCGAGTCAGAGGACATCATGGATATGGCGCCGAGGTCGTGCAGCACGTCTTCTGCGGCGATGGTCTCGGCGCGGATGCGGGATTCGGCGAAGGCGACGTCTTCGGGGATGTTGCGCGAGAGGTGGTGGCATACCATTAGCATGTCGAGGTGCTCGTCGAGCGTGTTGCGTGTATATGGGCGAGTTGGATTCGTAGACGAAGGAAGCACGTTGTCGAGTTCGACGACGCTGATAATGTCGGGGGCGTGACCGCCGCCCGCGCCTTCAGTGTGGTACGTGTGGATGGTTCGCCCTTTGATGGCGGCGATGGTGGACTCGACGAAGCCGGATTCGTTGAGCGTATCGGTATGGATGAGCGTTTGGATGTCGTATTCGTCGCAGACGGTCAGGCAGGCGTCGATGGCGGCGGGGGTGCTGCCCCAGTCTTCGTGGAGCTTGAGGCCGCAGACGCCGGCTTCGGCTTGTTGTTGCAAGGGGCGGAGTTCGGCGTCGTTGCCTTTTCCTGTTATGCCGTAGTTTACGGGGAGTGTGTCGATGGCTTGGAGCATCTGTCGGATGTGCGTCTTGCCTGGAGTGCAGGTCGTTGCGTTTGTGCCGGTGCTGGGCCCTGTACCGCCTCCGAGCATGGTCGTGATGCCTGATGCTATAGCCTCATGTGCTTGTTGGGGACAGATGAAGTGGATGTGGGAGTCGAAACCACCTGCTGTTACAATCTTGTGCTCAGCAGAGATGACATCGGTGCATGAACCGACTATCAAGTTGGGGTCCACACCGTCCATGACATCCGGGTTGCCTGCCTTGCCAATGCCAACGATCATGCCATCTTTGATCCCAATGTCCGCCTTGTAGATACCAGACCAGTCGATAATCAAAGCGTTCGTAATGACAGTATCCAACGAGTCTTTGTCTGATACACCTCCAGCTTGTCCCATGCCTTCTCTGAGTGTCTTGCCTCCACCGAAAGCGCACTCGTCGCCGTATACGGTCATGTCTTTCTCAACCTTGATCCAGAGATCTGTTGCACCCAATCTAACCAGGTCACCTGTCGTCGGACCGAACATGCTGATATAGGACAGTCGCTCCATGGTGCAGATATCGATGTGCGCAGCGTCCCCATGCGGTTCAGGCTCGTGAAGGAAGCCACCAGACTTCAATCTCTCCACGATGCCGCTTGCAACCGACATGTCCTCGATGAAGCCCGAGGCGATCTGGTTTCCACCCTTTATGATCTTGTTGCCACCAATCTGTACCAGGGTGACTGTCTTGGTATCGCCGGGCTCGAAGCGCACCGATGTGCCTGCGGGAATATCGAGGCGGTATCCATGAGCTCGTACGCGGTCGAATTGGAGTTGCGGGTTCGTCTCGATGAAGTGGTAATGCGATCCGACCTATATTTAGTGAGTCGCATGTCTCGTAGTCGCATGATGTTTCCATACCTGAATTGGCCGATCTCCCATACTCTTCACCTTGAGCTTGATCCTCTTGCGCCCCTCGTTCAGCTTGATTATACCAGCCTCTCCTTTGACAGCCACAATCGCGCCTGGCTGCTTCGTACTCTCGTAAACACTTGAATCGGGTAGCGGGAACATGCCGTTCGACGGAATTGGCAGGAACGATCCATATAGCGCCTTCTCGAGGTCTCCATCGTCAGTGGACACAGGGTTGTGGACGGTAACGAGGTATGTGCCGGTCGGGAAGGTGCCTTCGACCATCAACTCGCCGAGCGAGGCGACAACGGAGGGCTGTACATGACGACGACCAAGCATCGTTGTGCCAATTGACATGAGATCGGCGACCGAGTGGTTTCCATCACGGATAAGCTGTATGCGTTCAGCATGCGACCGAGGATGCGCGCGAAGTCGGAGGTCGTACTTCTTGTAGGTTATTCGCGATCAAAGCCTGGGAGTATTAGCAGCGTCCACGCGATATCATGCGAGACTCACAGTAGCTTCAGCATGGTTCAGCTTCACTCCCCTTGCCAGCCGACGTTGCGCAAGGAGTCCGAGCTGCGATATGACGAGCTTGTCAAGCTGTGACGCGATGGTCAGCAGGGGCAGCACGCGTCCATGGCACCATGTTACACACCTCCTTTGGACACAACTGCATATTGTAGAATCAGAAGCAGCCAAGATCTGGAGCGATACAACGCGTCTCCAGATTGTATTTGAATCCCCACCATCCTCCAGTCCGACTCTACCGACTCTACCGCTACAGGCCTCACCTCTTTGGGCCATGCTGCGGGGTTCGCTTGCGATAAAGACGCGCGCTGATAAGGAGCTTACGTCCGCGGCAACGCGCTCTCGACCTTCATCCGCGACATCCATGGACGCAATTCTAGGCACATGTCTTCCGGCAGACCATTCAGGTGTCGCGAACCTGCGCGTGCCTGTCGTGGTTCGAGCTAACCTCAGCATGACGTAGGGGTTATTGGTTTCAACACCAACACCACTGAGACATGCAGATCCACGCCTCATTCGGCCTATGCCACCAACCTTCTTACCTATCTTGCTCCTATCCTACCTGACGCGTCTCAGGCCTTCGTCCCTTCTCCTTTTTCAACACTCCTGCATCGTGTCGCAGCCATGATAAGCCCAGATCCAGACTCACCAGGAATACCGCCGTAGCCGGTAGCGTCGATGACAACGCGGGCACGCACCACAACTTGATACTCTGTGACCGTCAACTCACGCGTCTAGCGAACGCCATCTTCGACATATCTCTACGTTACGATGCACTCCTTGATGCGACATCTGAAGGGAGAGAACGATGAGCCCGAACCTGAACAGCAAACATCTGACCCACCTGTTAAGAGAAGTCGAGTAACGATCAAGCCCCCGCCCAAAGATCCAAACATACCAAGGAAGCGACTTCAAATCAACAAGAAATGCCTCTACGAGCGCCGGCTACCTGGGAACGCGTACATCTCCGCCCATGTTAATCGGCTTCAACACGGCTACTACAGGTCGAATGCGCTCCACGAACCCGACATCAACAATCTCTTCTTTGTTTCGGTGCACTTTGTCTTCCATCCCCATGACCCAGAGTCGCACCGTTTCAAAAGCGCCGAAATTGAAGTCACCGTTCATGGCGACGACGGTGACCCCAACACGCCCCGGAAGCCAGGCGCGTCGCATCCACGGATCCTGAAGCATGCACCAGAGCTGATGTTCGGATCTGTGTCGCCAGAGAACCTGCAGTGGAACTTCAGCTTATCGAGCTCCTTAGGCGTATCGCAGGCGCCTGTATCTGCTTCGCTGAACCCGAAAGCAGCTATGAAGAGCAGCTACAAAGTCTTCCACATGATGAGCATCCAAGGATCAGTGCGATCGAAGCGAAGCCCACACGGATCAGAGTACGATGTCGAAGACGCCAAGGCCGTCTGGACACTCACGGAGAACATGCTCCAAAAATCAGGCTTGCCACGAGAATTCGACTTCGTCCTACTTGTGCAGAAGCCGGAAGATTGCGAGAATATATACATGTCAGTCGACCTGAACGCGGATGTCGGAGCCTGGTACGGCACATATCCCCAGTGGTACACGAATCTCAGCAAGTATATGCCGAATCAAGATTGTATGCTCAGCTTCGAACATGACATTGGGCAAAGGTTCCTTCCAAGTCGGCCAGGGCATGGATTCAACTTCGCCAAACTGATGCATACGCTGGATGAATACGTCATGATGCCGGGAACTGTGTATCCAACACGAGTAAGCCATTCTCACTGAGAAACTTACATTATAAGCTAACCACTGTAGGGCACACGGCAAGGGGAAATCAACAATCCAAACCTAATAGAGTATGAAGCAGCCGACGGGGGTAAAGCCATCGAAGCTGCTCCATCCTCACCCCCACCTAAGCAGCCCAGTACGCCCCCAGATAAGAGCAAGTCGCCCAAAGGAGATTCATCTCAACAACATCGCCATAGCTCGGTGCCAGAGAACGTGAACATCCGTGTTGTGCTGGAGCATCAGTATCCGCAAGGGGTTGACCCGCGACGCTTCTCGTACTCTCCTCTCAGCAACTTGGAGCCTGTGCGGTACCCGTCAATACGGCGGAGAAAGTCAA